CTATTGTAAATAGTGCTGCAATGAACATTGGGGTGCATGTGTCTTTTTGAATTATGGTTTTCTCAGGGTATGTGCCCAGTAGTGGGATTCCTGGATCATATGGTAATTCTATTTTTAGTTTTCTAAGGAACCTCCATACTGTTCTCCATAGTGGCTGTATCAGTTTACATTCCTACCAACAGTGCAAGAGGGCTTCCTTTGCTCCACACCCTCTCCAGCATTTGTTGTTTGTAGATTTTCTGATGATGCCCATTCCAACTGGTGTGAGGTGATACCTCATTGTAGTTTTGATTTGCTTTTCTCTAATCATTAGTGATGTTGAGCAGCTTTTCATGTGCTTCTTGGCCATCTGTATGTGTTCTTTGGAGAAATGTCTATTTAGGTCTTCTGCCCATTTTTTGGATTGGGTTGTTTGTTTTTTTAATATTGAGCTGCATGAGCTGTTTATATATTTTGGAGATTAATCCTTTGTCCGTTGATTCATTTGCAAATATTTTCTCCCATTCTGAGGGTTGTCTTTTTGTCTTGTGTATGGTTTCCTTTGCTGTGCAGAAGATTTGAAGTTTCATTAGGTCCCATTTGTTTATTTTTGTTTTCATTTCCATTTCTCTAGGAGGTGGATCAAAAAAGATCTTGCTGTGATTTATGTCAAAGAGTGTTCTTCCTATGTTTTCCTCTAAGATTTTTATAGTGTCCGGTCTGAAATTTAGGTCTCTAATCCATTTTGAATTTATTTTTGGGGTATGGTGTTAGGGAGTGTTCTAATTTCCTTCTTTTACATATAGCTGTCCAGTTTTCCCAGCACCACTATTGAAGAGACTGTCTTTTCTCCATTTTATATCCTGGCCTCCTTTGTCATAGATTAATTGACCATACGTGCATGGGTTTATCTCTGGGCTTCTTATCTTGTTCCATTGATCTCTGTTTCTGGTTTTGTGCCAGTACCCTATTGCTTTTATTACTGTAGCTTTGCAGTATAATCTGAAGTCAGGGAGTCTGGTTCCTCCAGCTCCGTTTTTTTCCCTCAAGACTGCTTTGGCTATTCGGGGTCTTTTGTGTCTCCATACAAATTTTAACATTTTTTGTTCTAGTTCCATAAAAAATGCCATTGGTAATTTGATAGGGATTGCATTGAATCTGTAGATTGCTTTGGGTAGTATAGTCATTTTCACAATGTTGATTCTTCCAATCCAAGAACATGGTATATCTCTCCATCTGCTGGTATCATCTTTAATTTCTTTCATCAGTGTCTTATAGTTTTCTGCATACAGGTCTTTTGTCCCCCTAGGTAGTGTTATTCCTAGGTATTTTATTCTTTATGTTTCAGTGGTAAATGGGAGTGTTTCCTTAATTCCTCTTTCAGATTTTTCATCATTAGTGTATAGGAATGCAAGAGATTTCTGTGCATTAATTTTGTATCCTGCAACTTTACCAAATTCATTGATTAGCTCTAGTAGTTTTCTGGTGGCATCTTTAGGATTCTCTGTGTATAGTATCATGTCATCTGCAAACAGTGACAGTTTTACTTCTTCTTCTCCCATTTGTATTCCTCTTATTTCTTCTTCTTCTCTGATTGCCATGGCTAGGACTTCCGAAACTATGTTGACTAATAGTGGTGAGAGTGGACATCTTTGTCTTGTTCCTGATCTTAGAGGAAATATTTTCAGTTTTTCTCCATTGAGAATGATGTTTGCTGTGGGTTTGTCATATATGGCCTTTATTATGTTGAGGTAGGTTCCCTCTATGCTCACTGTCTGGAGAGTTTTTATCATCAGTGGGTGTTGAATTTTGTCAAAAGCTTTTTCTGCACCTATTGAGATGATCATATGGTTTTTCTTCTTCAATTTGTTAATATGGTGTATAACATTGATTGATTTGCATATATTGAAGAATCCTTGCATCCCTGGGATAAATCCCACTTGATCATGGTGTATCATCCTTTTAATGTATTGTTGCATTCTGTTTGCTAGTATGTTGTTGAGGATTTTTGCATCTATATTCATGAGTGATATTGGTCTGTAATTTTCTCTTTTTGTACTATCTGCTTTGTCTGCTTTTGGTATCAGAGTGATGGTGGCCTCATAGAATGAGTTTGGGAGTGGTCCTTCTTCCACAATTTTTGGAAGAGTTTGAGAAGGATGGGTGTTAGCTCTTCTCTAAATGTTTGGTAGAATTCACCTCTGAAGCCATCTGGTCCTGGACTTCTGCTTTTCGGAAGATTTTTAATCACAGTTTCAATTTCATTACTTGTGATTGGTCTGTTCATATATTCTATTTCTTCCTGGTTCAGTCTTAGAAGGTTATACCTTTGTAAGAATTTATCCATTTCTTCCAGGTTGTCCATTTTATTGACAGAGAGTTGCTTGTAGTAGTCTCTTAGGATGCTTTGTATTTCTGTGGTGTCTGTTGTAACTTCTCCTTTTTCATTTCTAATTTTATTGATTTGAGTCCTCTCTCTCTTTTTCTTGATGAGTCTGGCTAATTTTGATGATACATATATTGAAGAACATGCATATATTGAAAAACATCAAACATCATCAATTTTGTTTATCTTCACAAAGAACCACCTTTTAGATTTATTGATCTTTACTATTGTTTCCTTTGTTTCTATTTCATTTATTTCTGCTCTGATCTTTATGATTTCTTTCTTTCTGCTAACTTTGGGTTTTGTTTGTTCTTCTTTCTCTAGTTCCTTTAGGTGTAAGGTTAGATATTTTATTTAAGATGGTTCTTGTTTCTTGAGGTAGGCTTGTATAGCTATAAACTTCCCTCTTAGAACTGCTTTTGCTGCAGCCCATAGGTTTTGGATCGTCGTGTTTTCATTGTAATTTGTCTCTAGGTACTTTTGATTTCCTCTTTGATTTCTTCAGTGATGTCTTGGTTATTTAGTAGTATATTCTTTAGCCTCCATGTGTTTGTGTTTTTTACATTTTTTTCCCCTGTAATTGATTTCTAATCTCATAGCATTGTGGTCAGAAAAGATGCTTGATATGATTTCCATTTTGTTAAATTTACTGAGGCTTGATTTGTGACCCAAGACGTGATCTATCCTGGAGAATGTTCCATGCACACCTGAGAAGAAAGTGTAATCTGCTGTTTTGGGATAGAATGTCCTATAAATATCAATTAAATCTATCTGGTCTATTGTGTCATTTAAAACTTCTGTTTCCTTATTTATTTTCATTTTGGATGATCTGTCCATTGGTGTAAGTGAGGTGTCAAAGTCCCCCACTATTATCGTGTTACTGTCGATTTCCTTTTTTATAGCTGTTAGCAGTTGCCTTATGTATTGAGGTGCTCCTATGTATATATTTATATATACATTTATACTTGTTATATATTCTATATATATTTATAATAGTTATATATTCTTCTTGGATTGATCCCTTGATCATTATGTAGTGTCCTTCCTTTTCTCTTGTAACATTCTTTATTTTAAAGTCTATTTTATCTGCTATGAGTATTGCTACTCCAGCTTTCTTTTGATTTCCATTTGCATGGAATATCTTTTTCCATCCCCTCACTTTCAGCCTGGATGTGTCCCTAGGTCTGAAGTGGGTCTCTTGTAGACAGCATATATATGGGTCTTGTTTTTCTATCCATTCAGCAAGCCTGTGTCTTTTGGTTGGAGCATTTAATCCATTCATGTTTAAGGTAATTATTGATATGTATGTTCCTATGACCATTTTCTTAATTGTTTGGGGTTTGTTTTTGTAGGTCCTTTTCTTCTCTTGTGTTTCCCACTTAGAGAAGTTCCTTTAGCTTTTGTTGTAGAGCTGGTTTGGTGGTGCTGAATTCTCTTAACTTTTGCTTGTCTGTAAAGCTTTTGATTTCTCCATCGAATCTGAATGAGATCCTTGCCGGGTAGAGTAATCTTGGTTGTAGGTTCTTCCCTTTCATCACTTTAAGTATACCATGCCACTCCCTCTGGCTTGTAGAGTTTCTGCTGAGAAATCAGCTGTTAACCTTATGGGAGTTCCCTTGTATATTACCTGTCATTTTTCCCTTGCTGCTTTCAATAATTTGTCTTTAATTTTTGCCAGTTTGATTACTATGTGTCTTGGCGTGTTTCTCCTTGGGTTTATCCTGTTTGGGACTCTCTGCACTTCCTGGACTTGGGTGGCTATTTCCTTTCCCATGTTAGGGAAGTTTTTGACTACAATCTCTTCAAATATTTTCTCTGGTCCTTTCTGTCTCTCTTCTCCTTCTGGGACCCCTGTCGTGCGAATATTGTTGCATTTAATGTTGTCCCAGAGGTCTCTTAGGCTGTCTTCATTTCTTTTCATTCTTTTTCCTTTATTCTGTTCCACAGCAGTGAATTCCACCATTCTGTCTTCCAGGTCACTTATCCGTTCTTCTACCTCAGTTATTCTGCTATTGATTCATTCTAGCGTAGTTTTCATTTCAGTTATTGTATTGTTCATCTGTTTGTTTGTTCTTTAATTCTTCTAGGTCTTTGTTAAACATTTCTTGCATCTTCTTGATCTTTGCCTCCATGCTTTTTCCGAGGTCCTGGATCATCTTCACTATCATGATTCTGAATTCTTTTTCTGGAAGGTTGCCTGTCTCCACTTCATTTAGTTGTTTTTCTGGGGTTTTATCTTGTTCCTTCATCTGGTACATAGCCCTCTGCCTTTTCATCTTGTCTATCTTTCTGTGAATGTGGTTTTTGTTCCACAGGCCGCAGGATTGTAGTTCTTGTTGCTTCTGCTGTCTGCCCTCTGGTGGATGAGGCTATCTAAGGGGCTTGTGCAAGTTTCCTGATGGGAGGCACTGGTGGTGGGTAGAGCTGGCTGTTGCTCTGGTGGGCAGAGCTAGTAAAACTTTAATCCGCTTGACTGCTGATGGGTGGGGCTGTGTTCCCTCCCTGTTGGTTGTTTGGCCTGAGGCAACCCAACATTGGAGCCTGCCTGGGGTCTTTGGTGGGGCTAATGGCAGCCTCTGGGAGGGCTCAGGCCAAGTACCTCCCAGAACTTCTGTTTCCAGTGTCCTTGTCCCTACGGTGAGCCACAGCCACCCCCGCCTCTGCAGGAGACCCTCCAACACTAGCAGGTAGGTCTGGTTCAGTCTCCCCTGGATTCACTGCTCCTTCCCCTGGGTCTCAGTGCACACACTACTTTGTGTGTGCCCTCCAAGAGTGGAGTCTCTATTTCCCCCAATCCTTTTGAAGTCCTGCAGTCAAATCCCACTAGCCTTCAAAGTCTGATTCTCTAGGAATTCCTCCTCCCGTTGTTGGACGCCGAGGTTGGGAAGCCTGACGTTGGGCTCAGAACCTTAACTCCAGTGGGTGGACTTATGTGGTATAAGTGTTCTCCAGTGTGTGAGTCACCCACCCAGCAGTTATGGGATTTGATTTTACTGTGATTGCACCTCTCCTACCATCTCATTGTGGCTTCTCCTTTGTCTTTGGATGTGAGATATCTTTTTTGGTGAGTTCCAGTGTCTTCCTGTCGATGATTGTCCAGCAGCTAGTTGTGATTCTGGTGTTCTCGCAAGAGGGAGTGAGAGCACGTCGTTCTACTCCACCATCTTGGCGCAGGACCTATTTAGTTGTATTTTATCCGGCATTTTTGTGTGTCATTGTGAGAAGACTTGATAAATCAATCATGATATTTATCCCTTTTGTACTTGGAGGCATCCTCAGAATCCTCCTTAACACAGTGTTCTTAGTAGCCACTATCAATGGGTTAGAGTTGATGTGCCTAAAGTCAATAATCTTTTATGTCTCTTTACCACTAACAAGAGGTAGTTCTAAAACAGAGGTTTGGGAAAAGGGCAGACATGGTTTCTATAAAAGAGAAAAGCAGGAAATACTGTTATGGTGGTAAAATATACATAATATAAAATTTACTATCTTAACCATTTTAAAATGTACAATTCAGTGGCACTGAGTATATGCACGTTGTCATGCAACCATCACCATTATCCATTTCCAGAACTTTTAAAATCATTCCAAACAAAAACTGTGTACCACTTAAATAGTAACTCCCCATTCCTTCCTCCCACCAGCCACTGATAACTTCTATGCTGTTTTCTGTGTCTATGAATTTACTCTAGATACCCCATAAAAGTGGAATCATACAGTATTTGTCCTTTTTGTCTGGCTTAATAAGACTTAGCATAATGTTTTCGAGGTTCTATATATGCAGTAGCAGAATTTCATTCCTATTTAAGGCTGAATAGTGCTCCATTGTGTGTGTGTGTGTGTGTGTGTGTGTGTGTATACATACATACATACATATATACACACATGTACGTTTTGTTTATCGAGGGGATGGCATTTTAAACCAGGCTGTCTAGGGCAGGAAAGGTACAGCAAAGCAGCTTGGTGTCATGGGAAGGCTCAGAAATAACAGATCAAGCAGGGGTCATAGTCTAGAATCTCCTAGCATTCTACTTAGTAGTAGTATGACCTTTGGCATCGTTAATTGATTCTCCCATACTTCTTTGTCATCTTCCAATGGACATAATAATAGCTCTTAAAGGGTTGTTGGGATGTTCATATGAGATAATGCATAGGATATGCCTTGCCTGGCAGATAGTAGGTGTTCAGAAAGTGAATCTCACTCCCAGAAACCCCCATCTGTGACAAGAATGAAGAGGTACTTAATAGTAGGTGTGTTTCTCTTATAGTTTAGGAAAAATAATAAAATAGGTTACGAGTCCCCAGGACATACAGTTGAGAACTGTCGGGCAGGAATGACACAGTCCTCAGACCGGGAAGAGTGGACTCTGGGATCTTACCACTCCTTGTATCCTTTCCATGAACCGGCAGTGTCTGGCTCTGTGGGTTGGGCTGATCTCTGGAGAGAAAGGAAAGCATGCCTTTCTGTCTGCCATGCTGAAGATGCCTTTTCTAAGATAAAAGTGTCTGCCCCTCTTTCAAACTGCTTTTGCTGCTTCCCATGAAAAAATCTTTTTCATTTTGATAAAAAGCAATTTCTCTCTTCCTGCCAAGCCAGCAAAGACTCTTTGAGAAGTGCTTATGCTTTCCTGGTATCAGGGTGTAAAATCTGCATGACATGGAGACCGTCGTGGCATCATTTCAGCAGCTGGCAAGGGAGGTGCCTGGAAGAACGACAGAGCAAAACACACCCCCTCCTCTGTAATGCACTCGAATCAGAAGCGTATGCTTGGGAATCTAACTCCTTGTTGTTCGGGCACCTCTAAGCTTGCAATAGAGTCAGGAGTGCAGAAGAGCTTTTGTTAAAGAACTTCCCGCAAATAATAGAATCAGGATGGGGTGGTGGAAATAGCAAAAACTGAGTACCGTGTCCTGCTCTCCTTCTCTCCTCCCCCACCCCCAGTATATTAAATGGTTGCCTTCAGGCAGAAAATCTTTTAGTTCCAAATAAATCAAAAGTAATAGAACTCGAAGCAACCTGAGCTTTCTAATCGACTCCAAAATTTGTGGGGGAAGTCCTCTGTAGAATCCTTTCTCTCTGTGTGTCTCTGAAGAGTTATAGGCAAGTTGAAGTTAGAGAAGTAAAGCAAAAATGTTGTATGCTGACCTGTCACCCCGCACTGCCTTAGAAGCTCTGCCTGTGGAAATTGCATAATGCTGTTGGAGCTTACAGAGATGTGTTCTCTCATATCTTCCTGAAGAAGGGGGTTAGTCCCGAGTTTACCTGTACACGGGATGGCTCTTTTCAGCTGGTGTTTCTTATTAAGTATCTGGACATTATCCAGCATCTCCATGTGGGTCGGCTGTATCCAAATGCTTATGGAGTCCTCAGGAACCCTTGTTCAATGTATGCAAGGCTGCCTAGAGGGGGTTTATGGCACATGAGGTTGAGTGTGAGCTTTGGAATGAGATCTAAGTTACCCTTCCCGCTCCTCTAAGCTGTGTGACATTTGGCAAGGCATCTAACCTCTCTGAGCTAAAGTTTGCTTTCCTGTAAAATGATGATAAGCCTGCCTCTTCACATGTTGGTCTCCAAGAGTAAATAAAATCAAAGAACTTTTTCTAAATGTTTTGCTCAGTGTTTGCTGTGTAACCAGTGCCCAGAAAATGTTGGGGTTTTTTTTCTCTTCTTTCTTCTCCCGGTTCGCAGTATAATTTTTCTTGGTGCAAATGCCAAAGCTCACAAGCTCTGTGCAGTACCATCTTTAGGATATGGAAATTGGTCAGGAACGTCAGGGATAAAGCTGAGAATTAGAAAGAAGAAGAAAGCTTATCACCGTGCGTTTCTCAGCTGGCATCCCTTTGCCTTTTCTAGTTAGAGTCTTTCATAGTAAAGTGGTTACTTACTTATTTTTTCTTATCCTTGAAGCCATGTGTGTAGGATAGTGTTTGACAGGCGTTTTGTGTGTGCCAAAGTGTGGGGAAAGTAATAAGGAGAAGTCCATTCGAGATGTCACTTCTCTGTGCTGCATGCTGAAAATGACAATAAAATCCCTTCGTCAAAACCTTATTGGTGGGTTGAGCGTCTCCACATCAAGAAAGGCTGCCTCTCTCCTCACACAAGAACAGTGTTTCAGGGAGGATGCAAAGATAGGACCCTGTATTGTGGAATGGGGGAGTCTATTCTTTTTACTTCTGTAGAGAATCATATTGTGGCAGGATTTTTTTTTTTTTTTAATTTTTCCTGTGTTGGGCAACTGTCCTCTCTGATCAAAGACACACACACACACACACACACACACACACACACACACACGTGCATGTATTACCTTCAGTGAGAATTTGGAGCGTGCAGCAAAGACATCCTTTCTCACTTAACTGGTTCCATAATTTAAAAATATTGCATTTCTCATCGGGGACAGGTGATGAAATGTTACTATTTTGGGGGAGGCTAAGGATGGGCTTTAACATTTTTCTCATCAAGACTCAGCGTACATAAAATAGATAACTAACAAGGACCTACTGTGTAGTACAGGGAGCTCTACTCAGTGTTCTGTAATGGCCTATATGGGAAAAGAATCTGAAAAAGAGTGGATATATGTATATGTACAACTGATTCACTTTGCTGTACACCTGAAACGAATACAATACTGTAAATCAACTATACTCCAATAAAATGTTTTTTAAAAAGACTTAGTGTACAAAGAGATGTGAAGGCACAAACAACTACAGCAACCACCATCACAACAACAAAGAAAAGAAGGCAGCACTTGTAGACTCTTGCCCTGTGTTCAGCAAGTACCTGACACGTAGGAAGCGCTCAGTAAATGCTGGTTTTGTTATTACTAATAAACACATCAGGCAGAAGCCTTCATGTTGGTTTCTCAGTGTTATCTTCAGGGAAAATCAGGTACAGCTGTCAAGATACTGAATGGACTTCCTTGCTCCATTGTATGATAGAATTCCCAGTAATTTCAAAATGATGATGCTCATTGAGAAGCCTCGGCTGGGGGTCTGGGGTGGGTATATCATAGCGACATCCACTGGTGACAGGATCACAAGATGCCTTTACATTTGTTCTTTCATTTATTTGGCAGGCAATACCTTGTATTTTTTCTAGTCTGACCTCAACACTTTCATTTATTTCACACCCATATAAAGTGTTTCCCAAGTTCTATGTTAGATTAAAAAAAAACTTTGTCATTTAAAGTGATTTTATAGTGTGTAACCTTCCTTCTTTCTTTTCCTTTTGTCTGTTCCTATTTCTTCCCAATAATTGTTTGGAAACTTGTCATTTGGTTCCAAAAGGAAATTTGAATCTAATCCAAAACTTTTGTAAATTTAATGATTAAAAAGCTAAAGAACTCGTATGTAGCGGTATTATCAAGTTAAACTGATTTCTCAGCTTGTAATAGCTTGTATTTATAAAATTTTTCAATGATTGAACAAAGTCATCAAATCTATTGCCCTCTCAATAAATGCATGTGGGTGTATCTTTTTTTTTTTCTCAGAGTAATCTCTGGAAGACGACAGTGTATATGGTTCTGATTCACATGTATCAAATGCCTAGTTTGAATAGGGCTGCGGATACATTTATACTAAGTATGCTGAAAGAAAATATTTAATTGTATATGTATGTATCTGTATATATGTTTGGGTTTTTTTTGTTTGTTTGTTTGTTTTTTGTGGTACGCGGGCCTCTCACTGCTGTGGCCTGTCCCATTGCAGAGCACAGGCTCAGCGGCCATGGCTCACAGGCCCAGCTGCTCTGCGGCATGTGGGAGCTTCCCGGACCGGGGCACGAACCCGTGTCCCCTGCATTGGTAGGCGGACTCTCAACCACTGCGCCACCAGGGAAGCCCTGTATATATGTTTTTAAGAAAACTTTTTTTTCCCCCTTTATTTGGGCTTTTTTGCCCTGTGAGCATCATATAAGGTTACATTAGGAAAGGACTGTTTGAAGGAGTTGAAGTGAAGGAGATAAAGTAGTAAGAGATAAAGAAGAAAGTTGAGTAGGCACAGCCCAAGTAACTTCGGTATCATTTAGGTATGACTGCTAGGAAAGAAAAAGAAGAGGGGGGCGGGTGTTACCAAATCATGGACTTGATTTTTCTCCAACTTTTTATATGCCTGGAGATGTTTTTCCTAAAGCCTTGAAGTTGATAGAGTCTGGACCATCCTCCATCCTTGTGGTCCTTTCATCTTTCCTTGAACACCTGTGAAGCTTTCTCAGTGCAGCCTGTGGAAGATACTCTATTATTTGATAAGGAATTGTTGGGTACCTCGTATGTGGCAGGCAGATGGCTAAATGCTTGAGATCCAAAGGTACAAAAGGCAGAAGAGGGCCCTGACATTATGATGAGGGAGACAGTTAAGAAACAAGTAAAAAAAGTAATTATGGACTGGCATATATATGTCTGGAAAGGAAAGGAGATGGTTGGGATAGTCTACTTGACATGGTATGGTTAGGGAAGACCTCTCTAGGAGAGGTCATCTAAGCTGATAACTGAAAGGTAAGAAGGGAATGGCCACACAGGAGCAAAGGAGAAGGGCATTCTGAGCAGGGAGAAGAGACAGCAACCAAGGAGCCGAGGTGGAGAGGAGCTTGGCATGTTCTCACACTCCCAGAAAGCCAGTGTGCCTGAGGCATGGGAAGCAAGGCAGAGCGAGGACTAAGATGAAATTGGAAACATACACAGGAGCCAGATCACCTGAGGGCTGTGTTTTAAGTGCACCGGGTTGGCAGATTTAGCAAATAAAAACACAGGATTCCCAGTTAAGTTTGACACTCTGATAAAACAACACGTGCTTTTGTTGTATAAGCACAGCCCAAATATTCCATGGGGCATACTTATACTAAAAAGCACAAATTATCCATTGTTTATCTGGGGGTCACATTTAACTGGATGTCCTGTATTTTGTCTGGCAGCCCTGTAAATGGGGGAGGAGAGTGATCTGATTTGCGTTCGTGAAAGATCAGTCAGCTTGGTTTCCTTGCTGCATGTTTCACCTGCTGCTTTTCTGATTCCCAGAAGCAGCTGAAAGAATGTTCCAGCTGGTGCCTAGTATTAATTACAGAGTGGTTTCCAGGGGTCTCTCTTTTCCTTCCTACTCTTCTGAGGTGATCTGCCTGCCTTCTACTCCTCTTCTGGGTCTCAGCCTAAATGTGGCTTCTCCTGAGAAGTCCATACTTCCCCACCTTCATCCACCTCCTTAGGTACCCTCCTCCTATGCAGTCCCAAAGCACCCCCCCCCCCCACTTCCTTCAGCAGAGCATTTATGCCGCGTGTCATCATTGCCTCTCTTCTGTCTTCCTCAGTAGACTAGGAAACCTCTCAGGACGTAGACTGTATATTTTTGCTCCTTAATTTTCTGGCGTCCAGTCCAGGGCCTGGCTCAGTGATTGGGTGAGTTAACTGCAAGGCCTCTGTAGAGTAACTCTCGGGTTAATAAGCCACAGTCTACTCAGAGTCCAATTTCTGAGCTATCAATTGCTAAAGGGTTTATATATTGAGCACTTCCTGCTGTCAGGTACTATGAAAAATCTTGGTGCTGTCAGGTACTATGAAAAATCTAGGTCTCTGCCCGTAAGGAGCTCATAAACCAGTTGAGAATATGAGATAACTCAGAATATCGATGATAGTGAACAAAGCCATAGGAAATACAGTGAAGTATTAGAATAGTGGTAGAATTGTTAGGACTTAGGGGTCGTGAACCTGGACTCCGTGGACCGCAGGATGCTATCTATGTGAGAGGGCTTGGGGTAGAGGTCTGGGAACTGGAATTATGTGCACAGTGTCATATGCACCTGCTCTCTTCTGGTGAGAGAGTTAGAGCTTTGATCACATTCTCAAAGGGGAAGCACCTGACTACTCCAGCCAGAAGGTTGAGAACCATCTGTTCCAAGTTCTACAGACATCCTGATGAACTGAAGACCTAAGTATTAACGAGGGGAAACAGACAAGATAAGAAATATCTTTACAATTTCATGCTGGGGTAGAATTTCTTAAAAGAATAAAGTAAAACTTGAGGAATTTAATTAAATCATAATTAAAGATCAGTGTTCAATGAAGGAAGCCATGGAAAAATTAACAGAGGACAAACTGAGAGAAAAAACTAGAAATATTCATAAGAGCTAACGAGATTTGTACTGAGGATATACTTTTTTTTTTTATAAACTTCTTCTAATTAGTAAACAGAAGTCTAAATGGGCAGAAGCTGCCAGTGGGCATTTTACAGAGGGAAAACTTGAATGGCTAGTATGTTTTTGAAAGAGGTGTTCAGTCTCAGTATTCAGAGACATGACTGTTAAAACGAGAGCCATTACTCTCTATAACCATTACTCTCATGTTGCTTAAAAAAATTAGACAGGTAATAAGATGTATATCTGAGGATGCATGAAAACAGGGATTTAGGGGGTTGTTTGGTTTGGGAAAGAATTAGAAGCAACTTATCTGCATGTTGATAGGGGAATAGAGAAGTAAAATTGTGGTTTATGCTTATGAGAATATACTGTGCCATGGTCAAGGGGGATTAAAACCTAGAGCAGCAGTGTCCAACAGAAATTTAATGAGAGCCACATGTGTTATTTGAAGGTTTTTTTCGGTAGCAACGTCAGAAAAGTACAGAGAAATAAGTGAAATTAATTTTAATTTCGTATTTTATTCAAGCCAATATATCCAGGATTATCATTTCAATTTACCAATACCAAAATTATTAAGGAGTGATTTTTACATTACTTTTTTGTACTAAGTCTTCAAAATCTGGTGTGTGTTTTACATGGACAGCACATCTCACTCAGATGCTAAATTCTCATTGCAAGTGCTCAATCCTTATGTCCGCATTTAGATTTCATAAAACGTACAGCTGAAAAAAATAGATTTACATACTTAGGGTGTTCCAGAAATACTTAAAAGTGTTCTCATCATTGAATAGAATACCAGTTTTTAAATTTAAATTGATTAAAAATTAAGAATTTAGTTTCTCATTTGCATTTGTCACATTTCACATGCGCAGTAGCCACATATGAGTTATGGCTGCTGTACTGGATAGCACAGATGGAGACCACCTGTAATATTTAGGCGCTTTTCATAATATAATGGTAGAATAAAAAATACAAGAATAAGAACAAGATATATAGTATTTAATGCTATAAATACATACTATCTAAATACACTGAACATACAAAAAATCAATATATTTTTTTTTGCGAAAACACATATGTGTAACGAAATATATGGGGAATAGTTGAGAAGAATGTAGTTATAGTTATAGAGTTAGGTAGCCTAGGATCAGAAAGGGAGGGATCAAAAGGGAAAACATAAGTGACATCTAGGAGAGTTCTAGACTGCTAGTGTGCTTTGGGTCAAGGAGCTTACCCAACTCCGTTCTAGGCACCGAGGGTTAAAACAGAAAGCGGTGAGAAGTACATCTAGATAATGGAATATTACTGAGTGCTAAAAATGAATGAGCCATGAAAAGACATGGAAAAACCTTAAACGCATATAGCTAAGTGAAAGAAGCCAGTCTGAAAAGGCTACATACTATATGATTCCAACTACATGACGTTCTAGAAAAGGCAAAACTATGGGAACAATAAAAAGATCAGTGGTTACCAGGGGTAGTGGAAGAGATGACTAGGCGGAGCACAGAGGATTTTTAGGGCAATGAAAACACTCTGTACAATATTCTAATAATGGATACATGTCATCATATATTTGGCCAAATCCGTAGAATGTACAACAGCAAGAGTGAATCCTAAGGTAAGCTGTGGACTTTGGATGATTATGTTGCATCACTGTAGGTTCCTCCTTGGTAATAAATGTGCCGCTCTGATGAATGACACTGATATGCATGGGTAGAGACAGGGGGTATGTGGGAAATCTCCACATCTTCCTCTCAATTTTGGTGTAAACCTAAAGCTTCTTTAAAAAGAAAAAAAGTCTTTAAAAATATTTTTTAAAAAGCAGTTAGAATTAGCTCTGCTCAAAACAGCAGCAAAATTGGGAACTTAATGCAGAATTATGGTTTCATGATCACATTTTCAAATAGATGTTCCTTCTAAAACAGCAAACGGAATCATTCTGGGAACTCCCAAACACAGTTAATGTCATCAGAGGACATTAGTATGAAAAAAAATCAGAGGACATTTGCCTGAAGCCCCTTCATTCTTCTGATAAACATAGTTTCTAAACATCATGTTCTCAGAACCTGTTAAATGTAGAAAATCCAAAAGGAAGTCATATATAATTAAGCCTTCACAAGCCAGAGTGCAGTACTGCCATTCCCTCACCGTTGTGCTTTGTGGAACATTACCATAATACGCATGCTATTAATGGCTAAATTGTGTTCCCCCCAAATTCATGTTGAATCCCTAACCTCCAGGATGTCAGAATATGACTCTGTTGGAAGATAAAGTATTTAAATAGGTAATTAAGCTAAAAGAAGGCTCTTAGAATGTGTTCGAATCCAATCTGACTGGTGTCCTTATAAGAAGAGGAGGTTAGGACACAGAGTTAGCAGGAAGTGCTAACAGGGGGAAGGCTGTCAGCAAGCCAAGGAGAGAGGCCTCAAGGGAAACCAACCTGCATACACCTTGATCTTGGATGTCTTATCTCTAGAACTATGAGAAAATAAACTTCCACTATTTAAGCCATCCCGCCTTTGGGTATTTTGTGATGGCAGCCCTAGCAAACTAATATACCAGCATTTTAAAATGTAACAACTTACTTGAGAGACAGTACAACATCAAGAGCAGGGGCTCTAGACTCAGATAGGAATGGCCTTAACTCCAGTGTTCAAATTACTAATTCTGGGACTCTGCGTGTTGCTTTCTCACTTGAGAAACAGGAAAAAGTCATTGTACCTAACTCCTAGGATTATTGGATTAATTGGGTGAATGGAAATAATTGCTATATAAATGTCAGTCATTATTCTGGTCGTTATGATTGAATGCCAGACTTCCTTTGTCACGATTTCTCTGCTCACTGTAGCAAGTACACCCCCAAGAACCAGGGTGACGTAACATACTAGTTCATTCCATGTGTGGTCTTAAGAATCATAAACAAAGAGATTAACTTGTTTACTGTTGAATGGCTTCTCCATTATTTTCAGTAGTTCACTCTGCAGAAGCATGGTTTTGAACTAACTGCTGGAGTTCTGAAATTGAACATGATATATTTTGAGTTTTCTTTTAGAAATTAACATGGTCAGTGTAGACATGTGGGCATTTGGGGCCAGTGAGAATCCAACCTCAGCAGTTAGAAGCACAAGAATAAGCAACCACCTCTACTAGCCTTATGTGCCACGACCAGCTTCAGAAAGAACCAGCAGTATAGCAGTACAGATTCCCATTTTGTCATATCTGTAATACTGTTTTTCCTCTGGAAGGAACTGAGGACAGAATTAGCCTTCACAAGTCAGAGGGCAGCCCTGATATTCACCAACTGTTTTGTTTTGTGAAACATTACTGTAATACGCTTGCATTTTAACATACAATAAATTCTTATCAAAGTGTCACTCTGAATGTAATCTCATCAGTGTGTTTAAGTTGGTTACCTTTGCAAGTTAAGCTCTAGGAGATAAAAGTGGGCACTTAACGTTCACTGGATATGCTGAGAATATCTCTGCTTCTGTGCTCAGTTTCCTAAAATCACATAACATTTTGTTGCCTTGTAATACATAAAAGGGGTAGTTGGATCTGAGAAAGCTGTTAGTATGTCAGATAAACAAGTTACAAAGTTCCTTTTCAAGTACATATGCCCTGCTTGGCGATATGCCTTGGAGTGGAAACTTGCATCAGAAAGCCTGGGCGAAGTTTGGGCATCTTTCTGAAGAGCATCTCTGACGTAAAAACTGCTGCGAAGCCTAATTTCTAGAGCTCAAATATCCTCCTACTCCTCCCCGTAAAACATGACTGGCTGTGTGTGGAGATTTCCTGCCTTTCTCATTCCCTCCTCCCCTGTGTGCTTCCCCATGTTTGGCTGCGTCTCGCTCAAGCGCCCTTGCTCTGCCAGAGGCTAGCTCTGTTTGTCTTTTTTATTCCCCCGCTAAATCTGTGAAGAAGTCCTCGTGTCCGTGCAGGTGGAGGACTGATGGGATTGCCTGTAGACAGTCATGTATACTTGAGACAGACTAGACCTTTGCAGTCAGCCCGGCAAGCCCTTTCCAGTTCCAACGTGTAAGCACCCATGGCAGGCAGGCGGGCCTGCGTGGATGCTGCCAGGTACTGATTAGCACATCAGCAGGCACAGCCGGCTTGACCATGCTCGCTGAATTGACTGGGGTTCTCTTAGAAATCCAGCTGTTTATTGAACACCCGTGTTTGGCTAAATTCAGCATTTGATTCTGCGGAATGGGCAAACCGGCCATGCATGAGATGGTAACCGCTAAAAAAAAAAGGCACTGGGAACTAGTAAACGAAGCATATGAAGAGCAACTTTAGTAAATGTTTCTGTTGGGATAGGTGCTTCTTCTTAATTTACACGAATGGCCCAGTGCCTGTCCAGTATTATTCATATATGAAATATTAGATGAGAAACATAAGATAAATCCATACATACTTCTGGAAGTACATGCGCATCATTCATGACAGGAGAAGAAGATTTGTGGAGGGCATAGGGTTTGACTGTAACCAAAAATTAGAGCTCTCAGTAGAAAGACACAGCATCCCTGCCCTCACTCTCCTTTCTGAGCTCCAGAACCACAGAGCCATTTGCTCGCTGGTGATCTCAACTTGGACGAACCTCATGTGCCTTTCCACGCCCGCTCTCCTCCAGAAGTGCCCTTCCATCATTCTCTGGTTTTCAAGAAACTTGGAAATCACCCATGTCCTCCCTCGTCTTCATCCCCATATTCAGTAATATATCTCATCCTTTCTGCCTCCTAAATGATACTCCTCAAATATGTCCACCCCAGGGCACAGGTCTTCCCCGACGGGAGAGAGAGGAGGGGACAAGAGGGTAGAGAGTTACTTTTCTTTTTTAAAAAGTTTTAATTCTGGTAAAAAAAAAAAAAAAAACCAAAACATTTAACATAAAATTTATCACCTTCACCATTTTTATGTGTACAATTCAGTAGGGTTAAGTATACTTACATTGTAAAACAGATCTCCAGAACCTTCTCATGTTGCAAAATTGAAACTCTATGCCCAATAAACAGCCATTTTTTTTCTTTCTTCCTCCACCCCCCCTCCCTTCCTTCCTCATGGCCAATGTGGACAAGCAAAATAAGGTAGATAAAAGTTTAGGTCAACGTAGTATCAATTTTTCAGCGTTTGGTTATTTTGCTGCATACCTAGATGATGAGTTTTAAGTGAGACCACTCACCTATGGCTCTGGCCTTGCAAGCTCACGGTGTTCCCGGGGCTTTGCATGGGATTCTTCCCAGTGGTTTCACCAGGTGTCTCACACTGCCTTCGTTTCAACAATCTAAAGAGAAGGGAAGGTGACCCAGGATAGGCACTTTGGTTTGTTTTTGCCAGTCTATCATGTAGAAGAGAGCTTGTTGCTGTGAAATGAGATACAGGATCTGGATTTGTGTGTCATTATCATGATTTGTTTATGAGTGACTCTTTGCCAGCAGAATCCTGCCTCATGAAGAATCTTAGTTTTTATCTGGCACATCAGTTTCTAGGTGCTGACGTTGTCAGGATGCTGTTGTTCGTTGTCTTCCTCCTCTTCCTTCCTCTCCTTCCATCATTGTCATCACATACACATTTGAGACACTTAACTGAGGCACACTGGCAGTAGAAAAACATAAGAGGGATAACATTTGCTTTGCGTTGTTGTGGGGTAGCGAGCCCTGGGTTCACATACTGAAAATTCACTGAACGATGTTCCAGGGCTCTCCGCATGTCTTGGCAGGACTTTCTCCTTCTTAGAAGTTTAAAGACATTGTCCCTAAACTTTTTAGGACATCAGTGGGTAAAAGGTTAATTGACGAGTTAAAACTTATGAGTCTGATTCATAAAAGGCAGCTCGTCTATCTAGACATGTTTGTTCTGTTAGAATTAAAGAGTTGTCAAATCCTTCCACCTTCTCAAGTAAACCCATATTTTCATGATTTTAGGGCTTTGCTTGGCTGTAAAATTTCCTTTGGGTTGTAAATCAGCACATGTAATCTGTTCAGGAATGAAGTTTTTAGCAGAAGTCAAAGGAAAAAAATCAATTTAGCTGGTTTTGACTTATAACAGTTAAAAGAAAAATTGAAAGTATGGGATTTTGGATAAGTAGTTTTGCTTCACAGTTTGAGGGTTGAGTGGATGTTAAAATATCACTCACCACATTGGCCAGTCATTTAGATCATTCTGTTTTACTCTTCTGAAGCTATAAAATCCACCAAGTAATTAAGCAGGCTGCGTGTTGTCAGATGTTTCACATACAGAACCAGTAGGCTTTTCCGCAGACATAGAGAATGGACTTGAGGACACGAGGAGGGGGAAGGGTAAGCTGGGACGAAGTAAGACAGTGGCATGGACATATATACACTACCAAACGTAAAATAGCTAGCTAGTGGGAAGCAGCTGCAATACACAGGGAGATCAGCTCTGTGCTTTGTGACCACTTAGAGGGGTGGGATAGGGAGGGTGGGAGGGAGGGAGATGCAAGAGGGAGGGGATATGGGGATATATGTATACGTATAGCTGATTCACTTTGTTCTAAAGCAGAAACTAACACACCATTGTAAAGCAATTATACTCCAATAAAGATGTTAAAAAAAAAAAAAAGAACCAGTAGGCTTTTCAACACAAATACTAAGCAGTTGGCACAGGCTTTTTTTGGTTGCGTATGTTATGTCACAGGTATAGATGTGAGAAAAAGTTACAAGTTTCTTTCTAATGAATGCAAGGTTTACTGCTAAAAGATTAGCATTAGTCATAGATTTGGGGGGTGAAAATTGATATTTCATCTATACATACACACGTAAACACAATTATTGGGCAAAAGACAGAAGTTCTGAGGTTGAATGAGGTACTATAGCATAGAGCTTAAAAGAGTGTGGGGTTTTTGTTCAGACACCCTGAGTTCAGATTTCACCATTGTGTATGAGTAGGTGGCTTTAACAAGATACTTAATCACTCTGAGCCTCAGTTTTCTCATCTGTAAAATGGCACTAATGTCAGTCTTATCTTGTGAAAAGAGCATTAAATTGTGCATAGCACAGTGCCAGAAAGAAAGTGTTGGGGAAAATGGTTGGTATTATCACTTTTCTTATTATCAACTAGGCAAGAAGGTGGGTGATTTGGCATCATAATTTGTTTACACACAATTCTGTTAAAATAATTATCATGGGCTTAACGTCCCAAAGAACTTGGCGAGAGGAGAATGGTCATTTCTGTGCTCATTCAGAGGATGGATCCATTGTTCTGGGTTGGTAAGTTGGGTGCCTCTCTATCCAGCATCACGATGCTGCTGCTGTTTTTAACGAGAGCAAGGGAGAAGGAGACAGAAATTCAGATTCTGGCACAACTTGAAGATAGGTGCTCTAGGTCATCCACATTTCTGCAGGATGGAAGGGTGGGCGTGAAGAGAAGGGATATTCAAGAGCACGGAGATCGCCATTTGTTTCTCTCTGTTTCCCCACCGCATAGCACAGGATAGATGCTTATTCAAGAAATAAGTAACAGTGGCATTGTTCCTCTTTAAGCAATGACTTTTTAAAAGTCAGAATTTTTTTATTGGTCCCTGTTACGAGTTGAATTGTGTCCCCTCCAAACAAGGTATGTTGGAGTCGTAACCCTAGTACCTCAGAAAGTGACTGTATTTGGAGATAGGGAATCCAGTTAAAATGAGGTTGCTAGAGTTGGCTCTCATCCAACATGACTGGTGTCCTTATTAAAAAGTAAATATGAACACAGAGACAGACACATACAACAGGAAGGTGATGTGAAGGGACACAGGGTAAAGATGGCCATCTACAAACCTCACAGCCCTCAGAAGGAGCTCACCTTGCTGACATCTTGTTTTTGGACTTCCAGCCTTCAAACTGTGAGATAATAAAGCTCTGTTGTTTAAGCCACCCACTTTGTGACCTTTGGGTGACAGCCCCAGCAAACTAACAGAGCTCAAATACGACAAAGGGCATATTGAGAGTAGGACGGTTGGGGAAAAAAAAAAAAAGATTCTCGAGGTTCTATTTTCCATTCAAGATGTTAGATGTTAGTTCAGTGTGGATATATTTATAGCATGCGATTTCTTGCTCAGCAACTGAGAACAGGAGCTGCTTCTGATAAATTTCAAATACCTTCTCCTAGGGGCTTTGCTTGAACACAAGCGTCCAGAGAAAACCTGGAAGAACCATCCCCCAGCCCTCTGCAGGGGACGTACTTAGACACTCCTTTGGTAGCATCCTAAGTAGGCCGGCAGAGTGGGCCTCCTCTGAGGGTTTTTGGGGAAAGCAGCCATGATTGCAGAAGCATGTAAACAAGGAAGGTGATTTTTATCAAATGCTTCTTTAAAACGTGACTTTTCCCAAAAAGCTAAATAAAATATTTCTCAGAAATGGGAATAAGAGTGAGAAATGATAAGAATAAAACATTTACAGAAAAAGGATTTTGCATGGATTTTTGGTTATAAATCTTATTTCTCAACCCATCCTCTTAACCTTTTTCCAAAACACAGGTATCGATATTGCAGAAAGGTTAAAAGAGACCATTTCCTGTAATGATCAACATAACTGCTCAATCATTGGGAAAATAATTACACAAAACAATGAAAGTCCAAGTTTCTCCTCTGGGTGTCATGACTGGTTCTCAATTGGTGTCCCTTTCTTATGACAGCTGTGAGAATGTTTCTTCTCCCTCCTCATTCTGGTCCTTTCTGGACTGACGGAAGTAGGGTCTCACAGACTGATTGAGTTGCTAGAATTCATAAAGACCATAAATTAAAGGCAAGTTCTCATCCAGTGTTCCTTGCCTTCTTCTTTGGCCTAAAGGTAAATAGGTCTGTAGCTAATTAACTTGGAGTTTCTTTGAGAGGCTCGATTCTATCACCAGGGCAGTCATTATTATTCAGGGCATTACTATGCTTTGACGTCTGCTTGAAGTGTAAGTTATTAGTGTCTCAAAGAAGTCAC